TGTTCAACAACATTATCTTTATATGTTCCTGGTCTTCCATAAGTAGGTTGTGGATTATTAGAATAAGTAGTAGAAGTAGGTTGTGGATCATCATGATAACCTCCATATGTAGAAGCAGGTTTATTAAACGAATTAAAATCATCACTACCAAAAGATGTTGTATTACTTGAGTAGTTACCATATGAAGATGAGCTGATTCCTCCATAATTTCCAACTCCTCCATAATCTTTCTTTTGGTTTTTAGCAGTAATTCTTGCTTGTTTAAGATAATCGTTATCAGTTAATAATTCAACAATTTGTTTAGATCGTTCACGAATATTAATTCCAACATCTTTTCCATCTTCATCAATTTTTTGGAAACTTTGTAATGTTTTAACTTCAACAACTCTTCCTAATGCAATATTAACTGCTTCTTCTGAACCATTCTTTAAAATGTTATCAAGGACTAATAATGATTTATAAATTTCTCTCCAATTTTTACCATCTTCACATAATCTTTTATATAAAAAGTCCATAATTTCACGACATTCTTGACTATATTATATTACTATATTACACTTTTGTTTAATGTTCTTAATTTAATAACAAACTAATGATATGTATATTGAATAATTTGTTGATATTGTTTAGTAGTTGGTCCCCATTGTTCATTGTTTGTTGCATCTTTTAAAAATACCTGTGCATCAGTTAACCCATAAACTGTTTTCTTAATTGAAGTAAGCCAACTTGACATTTTGATTTTACTTGAATTGAATTTTTTAGTTCTTCTTTTTTTGAGATATTTTAATCTTCTTCATTTTCTTTTTCCTTCGTTTTTCATTTCTTTTTATGTTTTTCATTTTTTATGTTTTTGTAACAAATATTTTGAAATTTGTTTTCCATTTCTTTCATTACTATTTTTTCCTATATAACTCAATTATTATACCTAAATTATATTTTACATATTTATAATGAAAATTATAGTAATCATTAAATAACAACTAAAAGTCAAAAACAAAAACTTGAAGTTCACAAAAAAAAGACTTTAATCACTGAAAATAATCAAATAGATGGTTAGTCCTTGGGTTGCAGCAGCAGCTGGAACAGGTATTTATATTGTTTGTACACTCATTACATGCTCAATGGTGTTTATATGTAGAATGAAAGATAAGCCGTTTGTTTCTTTTGTTTATTCATTAGACTATACATTTGTATTCATTTAATCTAGACTAGGAATTACTGCATGTGTTGTTGCTGGTATTTGTACATGGATTCTATGGTTTATGACATACATTAGTCAAATAAATCCATATGGACCACCTGAAGTAAAACCAATTGATTAATTAATAAAACAATTTTACTAATGGAAATTTTTGTTATTAATATGTCATTGTATAATACTCTTAGATAATTTTAGAAATAAAAACTGATGAAGCGTTAAGAAGAAATTAAAACTAAGAGATGGTTCTGTATATTCTATAATGAAACTATTTTAACAAAAGATTTTACTCTTGTTTTATTTGCAATAATACGTTGATTCTAAAACAAAAAATTGATAAAAATTCAAAGATATGAATCTAGGAAATGTATATATAATGTTTTCTATAACAAACAAGGCTCACAGGAGGAAGAGTTATTGCATAAATAAAAACATAACACATAAGAAGTCAGTTGATTCTCTTAAATCAAAAAATGAATTAACTAAACCAATTAAAGAAGAAAAAGAATCAAATGAAAAGAAAAAATTTTCAATAACTGATTTTGATATTGGAAAACCTCTTGGTCATGGTACATTTGGTAATGTTTATCTTGCAAAACTTAAAGGAGCGTTTGGTGTTATTTTTGTTTTTAAATATAATTATTAACAACACAGTAATTATGTTTGTGCATTAAAAATTATATTTAAAACAAAATTACAAGAGTCTAGGATAGGTATTCAAATACAAAGAGAGGTAGACATTCAATCTCAACTTAACCATCCTAATATTCTCAAATTATTCGGATTTTTTGAAGATATCAAAAGGTGGTTCCTTGTTCTTGAATATTGTAAGAATGGTGAATTGTCTAGGTTATTACAACAAGCTGGTCGTTTTGATGAAAGAACGGCTGCTCGATATGTGAAACCAATTGCAGAAGCTATTGCTTACTGTCATTCAATAAATTGTATTCATCGTGATTTAAAACCAGAAAATATCATGATAGATCATAATAACCAAGTCAAATTAGCTGACTTTGGATTGTCTGTTCAAACCAAGACAAAAAGAAAAACTTATTGTGGTACTTTGGAGTATTTGTCTCCTGAGCTTGTTGAAGGAAAAAGTTACGAATATTCTATTGATGATTGGGCTATTGGTGTTTTGACTTTTGAATTATGTACTGGAAGTGTTCCATTCTATTCGTCTAACAAGGAATATACTGTTAAAAAAATATGTCATTCAGATTATAATTTTCCTATTTACTTGTCAGAAGATTGCAAAGACTTTATCCGCAGTTTTCTTGTTATTGACCCTAACAAACGATTAAAAGCTGTAGACTGTCTGAATCATCCATGGATAATCAAAAACACAACAAATTGACTTTTATTTTCTCGTTATTTTATTTTTTGTGTATTTAAACTTAAAAACAATAATTAATGGAAAAACAATGGGAAAATTATCAAATTTTACATTCTAAAGATGTAATACTTGAAGACTCACATGATTGGACATTAAATACATTATTACGTGTTGGTGTTTGTTTATTTTGTTTGTTTATAAGTAGAACATTATTAATTGATATGATAAATTATTAATAATTAGGGATTGGATATTTCATTTTCAACAAATCACCCAAATCTTGCAATTGGTTGTTTAGTTGTTTGTGAATATCCTTCTGGAAAAGAGTTATTGACATTAACATGTCGTAAAATAATTACAATTCCTTATATTTCAGGATTTCTTGGATTTAGAGAAGTAGAAGTTTATCATGAACTACTCAACGATTGTAAAGAAAAGTACCCTGAGTTATATCCACAAGTTGTGCTTGTTGATGGAAATGGATATTATCATCCCCGAAGATTTGGTTCTGAAACTCATGTTGGAGTTTATTGTGATATACCATCAATTGGTGTTGCAAAGGTTTGTGTTTTTTGTGTTTTATCCACAGAATAGTTGTAAGAATGTAGACTGTATTATGTGTTGATGGGATAGGAAAGAAGGAGATTAATATAATTACTTCACAAATCAAACCAGGTGAATCAACTACAGTTAGTACTTCAAATGGAGAAGTGTTATGTGAGGTTATAAGAAGTAGAGGTGGTAGTATAAATCCAATCATTGTTAGTTGTGGGAATAAAGTTTCACTTTCAACAGCAGTAATTATCTGTAAAGAATGTTGTTTACATAAAATCCCAGAGCCTATTCGACTAGCTGATTTAATTTCAAGAAAGTTGTTAAGAGATGAAGGATTACTCTCACACATGAATTAGAGATAAGCAAAACAAAACGAAGATTAAAATTATTACATATAAATGAAAAGTCAACAATATATTTCTTTTCAAAAAAAGGAATTAACAAATTAAACTTCAATCAATCATTTACAATGATTAAAAAAAGATACAACTTGAAGAGATTTATCTGTCAAATATTGTATTATATTTTAATAACATAAAAACAGGTGAATTGTTTACATTAATAAATAAAAAATGTAAAGACTCACTTCAAATGTTACATATCAATCCATCATATTCTGTTGAGAAAGTTAATGAATATTTTCATATTAAAGAATGTAATTTTCAACTCCAAAAATCGTTTATAAAAGAAATGAAATTATTCCCTCATCTTGAAACAGTGTGATTTACAGAACAAACTATTCAATTTCTTCATTTAATTCCTTCACAAATTAAATTGATTCGACTTCTGTTATTAATCTAAAATCTACAATATTAAGAAATGATTATTAGAAAGTAAGAATTGCTTCATTAACATTAAAAAATCCTAAATACTCTTTTGATCTTTCAGAATTTACTTCTTTAACAAGTCTATCACTTAATATTAAGAAACACATAAGAGTTAATGATTTTATTAGAAATAAATATCATCGTTTTGAAAGAGTCTATGTTATGATGGAAGGATTTGTTGATATCAACTTTATTAATCACATTGATCAATTCAATATTAGAAAAGTAATTATTGAATTTGATAAACAAGAAATATTAGAGTCAGTCATTAAAAATAAGAAACTCCTTAAAAGAATTACATTTTGTTACAAAGAATGTTATTGTACTATTTCTAATGATGGTATTATTCACAATAAACGATTAGTTGATGGATTTGAAATAACAGAAAAAGGATTTAATAATGATACAATACTTCAGTATTATCCTGAACATATAAAAATAAATGGATTTATCAACAAGAAAATTGAAATGGATTTTAGTTCATTCACATTCATAAATCAATCAAATCAACAACATCTTCAATTTGTTTCAATCCACCAACTCCTTTAACACATTTAGATTCAAAATATTTCTATGAAATATCTTCTCTTAAAGAATTACATCTTCAATGAAAATATATTCAACATTTATCTCTTCCTAATAATTTAACAGCTTTAACAATTACTGATTTTATTCAAATTTCTCATTGTTCTCAATTAATTCGACTTTCTTTGTGTTTAAACAAATCATTTCCAATTATGTTATATCGAATGTTAACATATTTGTCATTGTCATGTAATACTTGTGGTAGTCTTTGTTTATTAACACAATTAAAAGTGTTGTACTTAAACAAAGCATTAAAAGTGTTGATGTTGAATCATTTTATCCTACTTCATTAGAATTTTTACAATGTTATTCTAATTCTTTACCAATGAAATTATTAATTACACAATTAGTATTAAATGATTCTTTAAACAACATAATATCCAATATTATTCACATCTTTGTAGTTTAAAAACATTGGGATTAATTTCATATTCACCTTTACTTCCTTCTTCTTTGACTTCTTTAACTGTATCATGTTTTGGTTTATCACAAAGTCATATATCATTTAGTGAAATAAATTGTATTAATGTTAAGCAACTTCACATTGAAAATTGTAATACTCATAATGTAGAATTACTATCTTGTCTTGATTCACTTTATCTTCATTATTTTGAGTTTGAAATAACAATCCAAGTATATTCTATACTTTGATTCTTAATGAAAGTAAAATTAATGAAGAAATGATTCAAAAAGATTTTATAAAGAATTTCTATTGCAAAAGATCAAAAGAAAGTGAGTTTATTAACATTGAATTGTATTTATCACTTCCTCAAGTAAAATTTTGTTATTGTCAGAAATAAAAAATTTGTTATTTTTACGTTAGTTTTAAAACTAATAAAAATAATTAATTGATGAATAAAGAAGTTTCAATATTCTTTTATGGCGATTCAAATCTTTATGGAATTGAAGCTGTGACTTATAAACGTTATTCTTCCAAAGACCGATTTTCTAACATTGTCATTGAACAATTAAAAAAAGAATTTACAAAAGTCAATTGTATTGTTGATGGAAAACCTGCTCGTTCATTGAAATATGAAAACATCCCATTTGGCATTACTAATGGATTAAAAGACTATGATCAATTCTTATTAAAGATTACCTCCAATCCATTTTCAACAAACAAAGTATTAATCCTTGCATTATGTATTAATGACATTCTTTCAAAAGCAACTTCACAACAAGTTATTGATGCATTACAACAATACATCGAAAAAGTACAAAAACAAACAAAAATAATTATTTTAATTCCACCACCACTTCAATATTGTACATTTGATAGTTGGAAATCCACAGTAAATCCAGTGATTGCAGAATCATTGAATTTTATTCATCAATTAAAAGTTGTTGTTGAAATATGGAAAAAGCAAGAAATAATAGATGGATTTGTTGATTTAGATGGAATGAGTGTTGGAGCAGATGGTGTTCATTTCACATCTGATTCACATCACAAAATTGCAGAAAAGTTACTTTCAATTCTTCATGATGTTTTAAATTGAATTATTTTTCGCAGATTTATAAAGTCAAACAGGAATAAGACACAATATAAAAGAACTTAGACTAATTGAAGAAGAAGTAAGACTTTTTATGACAATAAATTCGATAGTTATTTATGCTGATGAAGGGACTATTGATGTTTGTGTTTATTACTCAATAAAAATGCTTCATTCTCAATACCAAGAAGCTCAGATAAGAAAAATATATTCTAATGAGTTAATTGAAGGTAAATGGATTTATGAAACTGATTTGTTTGTTATGCCAGGTGGTGCTGATCGTCCATTTCACAAAAAACTCAATGGCAAAGGAGTTGAAGTATTAAAAGAATTTATTAATGATGGTGGAAAGTATCTTGGAATTTGTGCAGGAGCATATTTTGCATCATCATTTATTGAATTTAATAAAGATGTTGCAAATGAATTAACACTATGTGAAGAAAGAACATTAAAACTCTTCAATGGGATTGCTCATGGACCAATGTATCAAGGATTTGAAGAATATTCTGAACGAGGAGCTGTCATAATTCCTATTTATTATCAAAACAATGAAAAAGTCGAACTTTATTATAATGGAGGATGTTCATTTGTTGACAATTTAAATCAATACAAAGAGAGTCATTTTCTTGCAAAATATCCAAATGGAATGAATGCATTATTCTTTGACATTATTGGTAAAGGAAAAGTTATTCTTTCTGGTCCTCATTTTGAATTAGACATAGAATGGTGTGGTAAAATGCTTAAAGAAAGTCAGAAAAGTGAATTTGAAATAAAGAGAAAACTCTTTTTGAAATATATTTTTTCATATTTTTAATTCCATCATTGTTTAATCATCTTCAGTTTTATTATTTCATTTGATGATCACTACTATCAGAGTGTATAATGACATTGGAACATCTGCTCTTTGTGTTTATAACACAATTCATTTATTTCATCATTTTTTCCCTTGTGCTAATGTTTTTGTAATTTCTTCTTCAGAAATTAAGACGAGTCAATGGGTTGAAAATACTGATTTGTTAGTCATTCCTGGAGGTGAGGATTTGCCATATCTTGACAAGCTTCAGATGGATGGAATTGAATTGATTAAGTCGTTTGTTCTCAATGGCGGAAAGTTCTTAGGGATATGTGCTGGAGCATATTTTTCGTCATCATACATTAAGTTCAATGCAAATTCACAATTACCCATTGAAGGAGAACGTTACTTAAAATTTTATGAAGGAAATGCAATTGGTCCAGTGTATGATGGATATCAACCAAATAGTGAGTCAGGTGCACATATAGTAAAGATAAAGTACAATAATACATATGCGTATATTTATTATAATGGAGGTTGTTATTTTGATGATAATAATAGTAAAGTAGAAGGTACTTATTTTGCGTTGTATGAAGATGGCAAACCATGTGGATATACTAGAAGATATGGAAAAGGCAAAATTCTCATCACGGGATTTCATTTTGAGTTTGATGAACAATGTTGTTCTCATTTGTTAAGTCAATTAAGGTATGACGATTTTGAATTAAGAAGAGAAAGTCTTATTAGATACATTTTATCATTGTTGATTGA